CGCCAACGTCCTGCTTCTGTAAAAGATTGTCAATACATAATCCAGGCACCCCAGCCAGAGGCTGTGTCCCCCTACAGAGGAAGGCAAAACCCAGGGGAGAAAATCCCTCCCTGACCCCAGATACAGTGCTGGTCTGACCCCAAGCAGAAGGGAGCCTCTGGCTTTAACTCCCAGCAGGAGCACTGGCACAGCCCAGTCCCATCCCAGCCTGGGCTGTAGCAGCACCCAGCACCTCCGGGGAGGCTTAAACCCCTGACGCGTGGAGCAGAACAGGGGGGAACAACCAGCAGAGCCCAGAAGCCTGGGACACCCCCATAGCAGAGCACAGGCATCGCTGCGCCTAGATCACTCCTGACCGGGGTGCCCACCCTTTTCTTGAACCCTCCAGGGAGCCTCGTTACTGCCGTTAGCCTGCGCGTGCCGACCTGAGATTGCAGGAAACTCACTGACACGGACACGGAAAGTACACCCAAAAACACGCTGACGCGTCTTCTACAGACCAGCACAAGGGAATCACTGCTTGTTCACACACGTGACTAAACCACGACCCCAGGAGCCCCGGGACCCTACCACCGACGCTCACCGCTGGTGACTGCAGAAACAATGATTTCTGTGCGACCTGCGGGAACGCCTGTGCTACGGTGCTCGGGCTGAGAAGCAGGAAACCTGCGGCTAACTCATGCCTGGCTCCTCTCGCCCACGAAAGAACGGGTTTTACACCTACGTCCAGCCAGCCTGGGCTCAGGTGCACGAGCGATGCTAAGGGACCACAGAATATTTGAAGGCTCACTCCTCCCGCAAAGGTGTTAAAATGCTGGATGCCTCTTCCAGGGGTGGCAGCTGCCACCGGTGCTCCTGGACGAATGGGTCGTCTGGTCAAAGGGACCCACGACTTCTTGGGGAGATGAACTGAAGGAATCCCCTCAGCTGGGATGAGGTTCCCAGTCCGTGGATGTTTCCTCTGGGGAGGGGGCACACACTTGTTTGGCTCCATTCAAGAAGAAAATCACAGCAGATTTGAGACGGCCTGAAGTGACGGCCCCTGGCCAGGGCCGGGGGGGGACGGGACTGATTAGTTCCAAAGCCACGAGACTGTCGCAGGACACAGTGACGGGACTGATTCTTTCCAAAGCCACGAGACTGTCGCAGGACACAGGCCTTGCCCTTCAGCCCAGCCAGGCGCCCCCGGGCGCTGAGCGACTGGGAAACTGGGCAGACATAGGAGCAGTCCATCATTTCAAACACCTCCTTCTACTCTGAATCAATGGCATCCTCCTGTCCAAGAGCTGGTGGGTCCCTCAAAAGCCCTGGGGCTGGACCCGGCGAAGTCACACCCTTATGTGAGACCACAGCGAGCTGCAAGGGACTGCAGCCTAAAACCTCACTCCGGAAGGTGCAGACAGCTGGGTTTGACCCCAGATGGGAGACAGCTACAGGCCTAAAGCTCAGCCCTATGGGGGCTGCCAGGGGAGCAAGGCACAGCTGTCATGGGCACGGTGGCCATCTGCTCCCATGGAAAGAAAGAAGTATCCGCATTTTCACCCCAGAGCTACAGACAAACGAGAAACCGCAAGGCTGGACACCGCTAGCCCTGCATTTCCACGGCTTTTCCCTCCTAAACAGCTTGCATGCAACTGCAGTGCACTAAGCAGCTGCTGGGAGCGTAGCAGGTCGCCAAAGGAAATATTTGTTTCCATGTGCAGCACGGCTGGACCACACCAGCATGGAGATGACCCGATGCATAAACCACTGTGCCCGCAGAGAAGGGGAATGGATGCGTCCTGGGCCAGCCCGGCAGCTGAAGGCAGGAAGAGACACATGAGGGTGTCTCAGAACAGCAATTCCAAAATCAAACCGCTGCAAGCAATGAACCTTTCCTGGGCTGCACCGCTTCTCCCCGGAGTCGCATGTGATGGCTGTGCTCAACGGCGCCGCCGTCCGCGTTCCCCGCTGCTGCGCTGAGCCGTCTTCCGCTCCTTGCACACGGTGGTTTTATTTACAAGTGGCCGCTACTTTCTGAAACACCCTCGTACGCCGTCCCAGATGCTCCAGGCTACACACACACACGGATTTGCTGCGAGAGCATGCACAATGGCCTGGGTGTGCTGTCTGTGCCCAGCCGGAGTTAAGGCCACATGTTCAGCCTGGGGTTGTTTCTGGCCTTAGGCTTCCTGAGCCCCTTTCAGGCTCAGCCCAGAGGACCACCCAGCCTCGCGTCCATCGATAGCCACGGCCGATACTGGGTGTCAGAGAAAGCAGACGCTGCACGTGGCAGAGCGTGACAAACAGTCTTGGGTCAGCGGAAGATTTGCCTGGCCCTGCCAGTCAGGCCGGGCTAGTCCCCGCAGCAGGGCTGAGCTCCCTCCGGCATTATCAGAAATGGAAAGGAAGAGGAATCGTTGCTGCTGTGACGCTGTGTGTTCCTGTCACCAGCAAGATGGGGAGAGTCTGGCCTCGCCGCTGTGCTGTGCTGTGCTGTGCAGGGAGTCCCAGGCTGGCTGGTGCTGCCGTGCAGGACAGCGAAGCCTTTCCATGCTGGGGGGTGCTCCCCTGTTCTTGCATTACGAGAAAGGAGGAAACAGCGGTCCCCAGGTACCGGCTCTGGGTCCTTCAGTAGCACCGTCATCCTCTAACAGCTCCCCAGTCCTCTCCATTCCCTACTGCTACAGCACATACCTGTGCACAGGGGCCGCCGTGCAAGGTGCCGTTCTCCCACAGCCTTTCCGAGCTGCAGAACACACAACAGACCCGAGAGATGCCCACACCAGATGCACAAGCGAGCAACATCATTTGCTCAGGACTTCACTCACGAGTAGGAGACAACCCATATAAGCTGACAAAGCAGCTCTGCAGCACACACGTGCTCTCCACTTCTCACACGCACACACAACCGGGGGGAGCGTGAAACCGCGTGGCACGTAACGGCTTTGCCCCTGCAAAGCTGCCAGCAGAAGCAACAAGCGCCTTTGAGGCCTCTACCACCTAGGAAGTCAGACCCAAAAGCACACGCTCTCCTGGCTAATCAGGATGTGCAGATTGCCATCAGCTTATCTGACCGAGATGCCTCGGAGTGCAATCGATACTAAACAAATAAATTATTAATTGCCCCAAGTAATTAAATTTATCATCAAACCCAAATAACTATAACTGATATTTTATGTCGCTGCGTCCAGAGCCAAGGTGCGGAAGGGACGGTATCGATCCGGGGAGGGCAGACAGATGTTTCCCGTGTTAGCTGCCAAGGAGGACCGAGCTGGCGTTAATGTCGGGGCAGGCACGAAGCCAAGAGCCTCGGATGCGGCGCGAGCATGGCTGGTTCAGCACAGGGCACATCAAATATGAAGAATAAACATTTTCAAATGCCTGCCTCCCCCCAAACCCGCGGCCTGAGCTCTGGCAGGAAGCCTCATTCATCTTGGAGCCGCGGCACGGGACCAGCCCCCACCCCGAGGAAAAAAAACCCAACTGCAGTAAATTGTAGCTCATTAATCAGTGCTACAAAATGCTCAGCTGGCTAGTAAATATTTAAAAGCCAGGGAAGGCGAATATTTGAATCAATGGGAACGAAAGCTGTGCTCAAAGTTTTCTTCCCCTATTTCTTTTTTAATTGGTCTGACCGGCAATTTGTCTACCAGATTCTAGTTAGCGGGGAGTGCGGCAGGCTGCTGGCTGGAAGCCTTTTTTGGAGGGAGGTGCCTGGCTGTGACTTAAATGATTGAGCTGGAGCGCTCCTCGGTGCGCTCGGCAATGGCGGCGCGCGCCTTTCATCCTGGGCCTTCGCTTTGTTACCCAAGGAGACAGCAGGCGAGACAAGTTCCACCCGTCCCACAGCCCCTGGGACAGCAATGGGGTCCCAGCACCAACTCAGAGACCCCACATGCATGGGACAGGGCGCCCCTGAAGCCTTCTGCCTCGCCGCTGGCTGCTAGCTCGCTTGCAAACAGGAGGGCTGGGGCAGTGGTATCAGAAAACTGCCCAGCGTGGTGGCTTGGGAAGAGGGGGCTGGAGCAGCCACTGGGGAACAATGCATGTGGCAAACCTACAGGCAGCGGCACCCCTTTGAGAAACAGGATCCCTCACTTGCAAACTGCAGCTCCAAGCCCAGGCGAGGCTACAGCAGGGTCCCAAGAAGCAGCCCAGAGAGCCTCAGGGCATCCTGCAGCCTCTGACACTCTCCAGGTGCCAACCCAGCTCCCTGTAAAGCAGCCTTGCAAGGGTGTCTGCAGAAATCACCATGCGAGGCAGGAAATGCAACCCACCTACGACTGCCCCACGCTCTCAGGGTGGTAATGAAACACTACAGACATTTGCTGCCTGACTATAAGAACCAAGACTGGCTTGAGGAGTCCCTGGGCAAACTGGGTCTTGCAAGGCTGGCTCCAGGACCGCTCGGACAGACAGGAGGGCTCCCAGACCCCGTACCCCAGAACCTCCGAGAGACAGCAGCAATCGCACACAACACGAGCTGGTCCTTGCTCACCATCTCACCAACAGCGAGGAGGGAAAAAACTAGGAGCCTGTGGCTTTCCACACCAAGATTTCCTAAGCTTAAAGAAAGCCCTAAAAAAGCACCCAGGAAGCACAGACCCACTCGTGTGCATCTCGGTGTGAGAATCTAGCCTGGGATCTGCCAACATTGATGTCCTCAGAGCTGTCACCGAGCCGTGCGGTCTACTCCACTGGATCCCACACAGCTCCAGGGGGGCTGCCGGGTGACACTAACAGCTCAGGCAACAATTAACAGGCAAGAGGCATCAGCAGGTTCAGATGCTCACGCACAAAGGGCCTCTGACTGCACCGCAGAGATAAGCTGCCCTACAAGGCGAATGCAGCCATGCTCTCCAGCCCAGCCGTGACCCACACTCGCCGCTGCAGGCCAAACTGGTTTTGATGGAAGAGGCGAGAGCGTGCCTTCCCACGGCTATGAAAGGAGAAGGGCTAGGAAGAGAGAGACAGGGAGAGAGATTGGTGCTGGCCCCGGAGGCCTGGCGACTGCCTACCCTCTGGCTGCGCAGCGTGACACCTGCGGATTTGAAGTCGGGAAACTTGATGCCGGCAGTCTCAGGAACGGCCTGGAAGAGATCGAAACAGGATGCGTTGAGGGAGGAAACGCAGGAGTCGACACAGGGGAAACACCGCTTCCTGCCACTGCCACCTGCCAAGGCCACGTGTCAAAGCGGGGAGGGGGTAGAGCAAAATCCCAAGAGAACCCGTGGAAGCCCCGTGCGAAGGGAAACGCTCTGCTCCAAGACACCGTTAGAGGCACAAACCGCCTTCGCCTTGTGCCATCCCAGCCCCACAGCAAGCAGGGGAACCAGCAGCGCACCCCGTGACTGAGGGTGCACAGCGCCTAATTTAGGCCCAGTTCAGCCAATGAGGACACTGGGGCCCTCCCAGGATCCAGCCCGTCACCAACAAGCCTGTGCAACCTCCAACCTGTACAGCTCCGAGCATACGGACGAGGCTCTGCAAGTCCTGGGACCAGTTCTTCAGCAGCGGGGCATGCTGCATGCCTGCCTCCCGCCCTGTTCTCCCCAGGCAGCTCAGGGGGCAACTGGGCTGGTTCATGCCGTGAGAGGGCAGCCCAGCCACCAGCACAAGATCATTCGACTGAGCGCGGCCCAGGACAAGGCTTGGCAACAGGCCGGACCTTTGGGAAGCAGCACTCCCCAGGGCTGCGCTGCAGACGGGGTCGGGGAAAAGGATCTCAAGAACCTCCCAGAGCTGGTTTCACCCTTCCCATTCAAGGGCCAGCTCCAGGGCTGCGCTCTGCCTCCCTGCTGTTGCCCCAAGGGCATCTGCTGAAGAAATCTCCCTTCTTCCCAATGCATAGGCACATGGGAACATAAGACCTGCCGGGTCAGACCCAGGTCCGTCTTGCCCTGTGTCTTGGGTTGCATGGCAGCAGAAAGCGGAGGCTGGAAGGGAGAGCGACTGGGTCCGAGCAGGGTTTTCCCGTTCCTCTCTCCCTTGCAGCCTCCAGCATTGAAGCTCTGATGCAGAGGCCGTGCCCCTCGCTCCCCTGCTCAATAGCAACTGACCCCTTTCCTCTCAGCACGTCCGATCCCTTGGTGAATCGAGCTAAACTCTCAGCTTCCCCTGCATCTGGTGGCAATGAATCCCTCCCGCTTAATGACACGCAGGGGGAAAAAGGACTTCCTGCTATTAAACTTACTGCTTGCTCGTTTCACACCGAGACCCCTCGTTCTTGTCTGCCGAGAGACCGTCAGTAATAAACCCCTAATGACATTCTCTTCCCCATTTAGTATTTTGTAAACCCTTCTCCTGTCCCCCTGCAGCATCTCTTCTAAACTGACCAGGCCTAGCCTCGCTAGTCTCCCCTCACATGGAAGCCCCTCCATAGCACTCAGCATCCTTGTTGCCCTTCTCCGGCCATTGGGCGTGTTGGCATAATGGCAACGACACATCTGCACCTCTCAGGATCAGAGGATGCCTCTCAGAGGAACCACGTGCAAGGCCCTTGGGGGTGAGCAGGGCCAGGGAGCCCCCCAAGGAAGGAGCCAAGCTGCATGGGAGATGCCAGCGGGAGTCCTGCACTGTGCCAGTGCACATCTCTCCCACTCCATCTGATCCCGAGAGGTGCAGATGCAAAGGAAAAGCCATGTGGGGTGCCCAGGACTCCCCCCTATGTTGCTCCATAACCCTACAACTCAGTAGCTTGTGGTGCCAGCTGGGTTTGGATGGCTAAGGGGCTGCACTGAGGTGGCACCGAAGTGACTAGGGAAGGACCCTGGTAACTCCAGGCACTCCCTGCTGAATGACGTCTCTGGGGCAGCACTCCGGGAGCTGCTTTAGACCAGAGCCCAGGTGGCCTGGCACACGGTCGGCACACGCCAGACTAGCCACCCGACAGGGCAAGAGCAGCCACAGCATGCCCCAGACCAGACCGGCCCGCACAGCTGAGCTGGATCACAGCGGCCTCGGGAGGGCAGCACTGCAGACTGGGACATGCAGCTCTGCACACAGAGAGGGGAATGCAGCACTGCTCTGCTCGTGCCCTGCAGGGGAAGCGTGGGTCTCGACCCCTGCGCGGCCCTCAGCCTGGCGCCGCATGGCGGGCAGAAGGGGGCAAAACCCAAGCACTCAGAGCCGAGGCGAGTGGGGCTGCGCTCCCTGCATAAGCAATTAAGCAGGCTCTCCCGCCGCGCGTGCCGCGCCGTAAACACTTCAACCTCAATTGACTCCTCGGTAAATGATTTCCCTTTGTTGGGCCGAGGCGGAGGCAGCTCCTGATTCCGATTCTTAGTTAAAATGCAATCTTGTCCTTACCGTTCCCCTGCTCCGGGTGGTAATTGACTCCTAATGGACTCTGTCATGGTTGAAACGATGCTGCGGCAACAACAGACACTGCTCTCTGCCTGCCTGGTGCACTGGCCGCCCACGTACGCCGGCCTGCAGGCCCTGCGTGGGGCACAGGCTGAGCTTCAGCATCCTGTAGATGCCACTTCCCATCCTCACCTTCCTTTTGTGCCATCACCAGGGGCTTTGCCATAAGCAGGAGCAAGCTGTGCTGTGCCACTGGCCACTTGCTCAGGGAAGCCACCCACGCACACTCCAGCTCTGGGCCTCCCCTCCATTGCCTACAAAAGAGCCACTGCGCTGGGCACTGTCTGTGGAGCAGCACCCTGAGGCTGCCGAAGCCAGTCGCTCCCCACCCTCCATGGCTGATTAGATGAGTACCGGCCCTGGCTGCACCCCCTGCTCTCAGCGCAGAGGGGCAGGGGCCTTGTGACCCTGCAGCTTGACAAGCCTCTGTTACCAGCGATGCTGTGCCCGAGTCAACCATGCTCAGCCCTTTGCAGCAGCATAGCAAGGGACAGGGGCAGTCATAGCATCACCCCCCTATTCACATATAGGGAAACTGAGGCACCAAGGGGTGGAGTCATCTGCCTATGACCACAGAGTGGGTGAATACCGAAGGTGGGCCAATTCCTCCAAGCTCTTGATCCCTTGACCACCAGAGCACATTGTCCCTGCAAATATGCTACTGAAGGCATCTCCACCTTTGGGACAAAGGAGACACCCCCTCCCCATCCCCAGGGAGGCCCGGGACCCAGCCCTGCGGGACTGCCCTGGCAGGTGCACTTGGCAGAAATCGGTGTGACCCCGTGCGGCTGCAAGGGGTGTGGGGGAGAGAGAGTTACAGGCTTCTCGGTCTCCTTCTTCTGCGGCAGCTTCTTCTTGGGCGCCTTGCGCTCGGCCCGCCGCTGCTCTGTGGTGGTGTCGGCTGCTGTGATGAGTTTCTGCAGGTCTTGGGTTCTCTTCTCTCGCTCTTTCTTCCTGGCTTCGATTTTCCGGAGCTCCTGGATCAGGTACTCCTCCTCCGCCACCTGCAGGCAAGAGCAGGGAGGGCGCTGAGCCCCACAGACGGGCAGGACAGTGCAAGGGGGCCACCTAGCGATGCCTGGTACCGCGGACAGGATTTGGGCCCCTGTGGAAGCAGCTCTCCCTGCCAACCCACTCAGGCTGGACCTGTTTGGCAGCAGCGTGGCCTGAGGCATGTGGGGAGGCCACAGGGGCAGAAGGGACCAGCACAGCCAGCAGAAATGTCTGCACCTGCCGTCACTGGGCAGTGGCAGGGCCCAGGCTGAGCCAGGTCCTGCTGCTGCATGAGAGCATCACTGGGCTTAGTGGGAGGAAGAGACCACAGACAAGGCTTGGGCTCCAGCCCAGATATTGCAGCTCCAAGCCAGCAGCAGGGAGGCTCCAGACCCGAGTTCAAACCACCCCCTGGCACTCCCCAGGTCTTCTTTCAGGCAGGGAACAAAACTGGGTGGGTTCTCTAAACTGGGGGCACCAGGCAGATGCAGGTACTGGGGCAAGGCAGCACTCTCCGCCCTGGGACAGGAAAGCCTGGCCCATGCTTAGCACTCATGGGAGACACCCCTAGCATCAATGAAGTTTGTGGAGATCCAGTGAGGCCAACGAAGTGAGGTAGGAGCAAGTCCTAGAGCACCTGTTAAGTCCCCTGCCCCCAAGCTCCAGGGGACCATGGAGAAACCATCTGAGCAGCCCCTTGTACACAAGTGGATGGACCCTCCTGCCGCTCAGCTGCAGCCAGAGTCTGAGCTTCACGTGCAACACTCCAGTCTCCGGTATCCCCGGGCCAGACCTCGGCTCACTCCCGAGCACCTGGGGCAGGGTCATGTGCAGGCACTCCCTGCTGGACTGATGCAGTCAAAGGGAGGGAAGGAGAAAGCACAACCTACGGCGGGGAGGGTCAGCCTCTGGCATGGGTGCCAAGTGGCACAGGGAGCCCTTGTGTGTGGCATGTGGCAGGTCAAGGAGGGGACAAGCAGCAGAGCAGGAGACAGGGCAGGGAGCAGAACGCAGGGCAGCAGATCGGGCAGGAAGCGCAGAGTAGGGACCAGAAGGCAGAGTAGATCAGGCTGGGAGCGGAATGCAGAGCAGTAGATGAGGCAGGGGAAGGGGGTCAGAGGGGCCCATGGGGAGGGAGTGGAGCCAAAAAGGCTGGCCTAGAGCCCTGGGGGGATGTCAGGGGATTCACACAGGTGGCCCCAGCCCCGGCCCCAGCACTTGGGGAGCCGCCTGTTCCAGGGCTGGTGCCACTGCTGGGCTTCCCACCACTCCCTGGAAGCAGCAGCTCCGGCTGTGCCACCTGTGAGGAGTAAAGCAGCTGCCAAGGCCTTCACCCAGCTCCTCCTGCCCCACACCCTGCTGCAGCAAACTCGCCCGGTGCTGGCCTCGGCCCCTCCACAATGGCAAGAGTGCCTTGAGAGCAGCGGTGTCGTGCCCTGCGCCTTCCCTGCTGACGGCCACATCCACTGTGACTCACCTCCCACTCTCATAACCGCTCACCCCCCCTGTGCTACCTGCTCTGGCGTCCTGTTGTAGAGCCGCTCCAGCTGCTCCTTCCTGCGCCGCTCGTGGCCGGCATCAAAGACGGGGATCTTCAGGTCGGTGCCGGGGGCAGCGCGCACGTTGGCCAGCTTGGCACAGATGTGGTAGTACCGCTCCTTTAGGTCCTCCACCGACCGCTTCTGGGGAGCGTGGGGGTTGGGGGGGCAACATCACCAAGGGGCCAAAGGAAATGGGCAGCAGAGGCTCGTGCCTGACAGTGCAGGACAGTGGACAGAGGGGCAGCCTGGGAGATGGCAGGAGGGGAAGGGAGCCAGGATGGCAGGGCCTGAGAAAGCTGCCTGCTAAGGACAGCGGCTCCCCACTGCTGGTTGCCCCCGTGCCGTTAGGCCAGGGCTGGGGGAGAGAGCGCTGACCTGGAGCCTATCCCTGACAGCCACTGTAAGCCTGGTACTGCCTGCCCTGCTCTGTGCCTCAGCTGCCCCCTCAGGGGCCTCCGTTATCCCCGAAAATCAGCATGGCCGTGTCCCATCCTGAGCCAACACCAAGCAGGTGTTCTACTCCTGTCTTGCCCGACCTGGCGAGGACTCCTGGGTTCTACTCCCAGCCTGCGACTTGCCCCTTACGCCACAGGGGTAACAGACTTGCAGGTCAGGCAGTGGGACGCAGCATGGGGAAACCATGGGGGAGTTCAGATCTCCAGTGACTGCTGGGCAACGCTCTCTCCCTCGGCCAGGAACCCAGGAGTCCTGGCGCCCAGTCCAGCCCTCTAACTACCGGTACACTGCCTCCTTCCTGGCACCTGGCAGTTGCAATCCCAGCAAGGACACACCAGGACATGCAACAGAGACCCCACACACGTGTGGGTTTAATCATGAATAAAGTGAGCAGCAAGAACCACGTGCCCAGCTGCCGGGCTTCTGCATTCCCTCCTCACAAAGGTGATCTGGAGGGTTCCCGGCTCCTGGCCAAGTGGCAGGCCCAGCCCCCACGCCCCCCCGCACACCAGTGCTCACCTTGAACTGCTGGTGGTCGTAGCGGTCGTGGATGACGACGAAGCGCAGGTCGAAGCGACGGGCCAGGTCAAAGAGGTGGTCGGTCTCAGCCTTGGTCCAGGCATCATCGTGCAGGTACAGCTGGTACTCCTGCTCCGAGTACACAGGCACCTGCACCGTCTGCACAGGGACAGAGCGATGGGCAGCTCACGACAGGCGTCCTGCGGGAGCCCTTCCCCCTCATCCGTGGGTGGGGGAGTGGGCGAGAGCCAGAAACACAGACCCCGAGGGCAGCGGCAGATGCAGGGCTTTCCCTGGCTTTCCCATGGGTGGTATCTCCCCAGGATGCCACGATGGACCCTTCTAACCCCAGCGTCTCCCTGGTGCCCGCAGAGCAGAAGAGTACCTGGTGGAGGGGAAGCCTTGCTGATGCCAGGGACATGAGGAGACTGCCCTCTGCACTGCCAGGGCACAGCCTGCTTCAGGCTCCAACACCCACCCTACCCTAACCATGCCCTGCTGCCACACCTGGCATCAGCTTCCTACCCCCACAAGAGACGCATGCAGAAGCACCAGTGGGGCTGGGCATCCGAGCTGTCCTCACTCAAGGAGCCTTCCCACTCTGCAGAGCCCCAGCGCAGCGTACACTGCATCGCCAAGCTCCAGGCAGCCCAGAAGCACATTTCAAGCCCCACAACCAAGGCTACAACCGAATTCCATCTGGCTTCACATATCAAGGAAAATAAAAAGTCCTTTTTCAGATATGTAGGGAGTCGGAAAAAAGCAAGGGTAACATTAGACCCCTGCCGAACCAAATGGGACAACTGATAACCGACACCCTGGAAAAAGCCACACTGCTTAATGGGCATTTCGCATCAGTCTTTCATCAGCCCAAAGGGACCGCCTTGCCTAGCATGATGCGGGACGGCCAGGATGAGGACGTATTTATAGCCAGCATTGGTGCAGACCTTGTAAAAGATCACCTTGAGAGGTTGGACATCTTCAAGTCAGCTGGTCCTAACAGATTACACCCTAGAGTACTCAGGGAGCTGGCAGGTGTCATAGCCCAGCCACTGGCAAAAATATTCAAAAACTCGGGGCGCTTGGGTGAAGTACCTGAAGACTGGAAGAAGGCCAGTGTGGTACCCATTTTTAAGAAAGGGTAGAAAATAGATCCCAGGAATTACAAGCCAATCAGCTTGACCTCAATCCCTGGTAAGATCCTGAAGAAAGTTATCAGAGAGACCCTTCTGGATGAGCTGGCTGAGGGCAACATCCTGAGGGACAGCCAGCGCGGGTTTGTCACGGGTAGGTCTTGCCTGATGACCAATCTCATCTCCTTCTATGACCAGGTGACGTATCACCTGGACAAGGGAGAAGAGACTGACATCATACAACTGGACTTTAAAAAAGCCTTCGATCTGGTATCCCATGATCTCCTCATGGAAAAACTGGCCAACTGTGGCCTCAGCTATACCACAGTCCAATGGCTGGGGAATTGGCTCGATCACAACCCCCAAGTCTCTTTTGGCCATGGTGCTAGCAAGTGTAGCACTGCCGAGCCTATAAGTGTGATGCATGCGGAAGAGATGGCACAGTGCTCGAACACTGCGGGAAAGGTGTTCAAGGCACTCGGCAGGTGCCGGTGAGGCAGCAGCGACCTCCCCTGAATCCCCTGGGCTTTCCACTGACCTCATGTTCTGTGGCCGTAGGCCTAGAGCAGCACCGGCTGCCAGGCCTTGCTGGCTGGTGATTCCCACCAGGCGAAGGCCAGCATGCAGCAGGCAGCCGCCTCTGCTCCCAGTGCTGGCTCGATGGTGCCGATGCATTGGCCATAACAGGGGCAGCTGGACTCACGTGGGGCTGGTTGGTCTCCTTCCTCCTGGGGAACCTCGCACCCCCTAGAGCTCTCTCCTGTCATAACTGCCCTTTCCAGTTTACAAGTCAGCCCTGACACAGCCCTAGGTATCACTCCTGCCCCAGGGAAAGCAGGGGGGCTGCAGCTGCTAGCATCCTGCTGCTGCAGAGGGGGTTCATATATGCTTGAGACACCCCAGGCAGAGGCCATGCCCAAACTAGAAGGCAAATCCACTCCCCCAGTCCATAGCAATCTGACCGCGGGGAAATCCCTTCCTGCCTCCAGTGCAACATGGGTCTGAGCCTAAGCAAAGGGGCAAGACCCTCTAGCCAGAACCCTGCAGGGTTCATCCAGCCCAGTCCCCACCCCCAGTCCGGGCTGCAGCCAGCACCCAGCACCTCTGAGGGAGGCTCAAAAAACAAAACAAAAATGGTTGGTGCGAGTGGGTTGGGTGCCTGGTGCTGTGCCAACAACTCCGCCCCTTTACAAGTCCTTCTGAAAGCCTGAAAAATAGCCCGGGAGTAGGACTGGGTGCCTGAAGGCCTATCTGACTCTGCTCCCCTGGGAGCCTCTTAGCCAGTCCTTGCAAAACAAACCGTTCACTAATCCTTGGTCCAACCAACCACACAAAGGAGTAAAGCAAACCTTTCGCCTCTCCGCAGGCAGTGGCAGAGGGCCCTTTAGCTCAGGCCCTTCCTGGAGGCAAGGCTCCTCTGGGTTTCAGTCTGCTCCCGGCCAGCAAGTGGCTCCTTCCCTACTCCAGCTGCTTGTTCTCGCTCCCCTTGGGCTTTTAACTGCCAGCTCATCACCCACAGCTGGAGTCCTACCCCAGGGCTGTCTGCCTCCCTCAGAGAGCCAGACCACGGTTACATTTGATTACTAGGTACTCCATGTGCTGACAATGCCCAGCCCACCTGCCACATCTCTCAGGCTCCTCATGGCCCAGGTGAGACTCGACAAGAGCTGGATGGCTGACTGCAGGGAGCCAGTGGCCGTTGTGGGCAACCCCTCTATTCGAGGATGATCTCTACCAGGGCTCATTTATGGGTCTTTAAGTGACTGAAGAGCTCAATCCTTGAGCCACAGATCTGACCAGAGAAGATTCAGGTCTTTCCATAGGGGAGAGCAGCCTGCAGGCTAGGATTCCTCTCTTTTTCCTTCCTCTGCTTTCTCTTCCCCGCTTCCAAGGCAAGGCGCTTTCCCTCCAAATGGGCAGCCGCTTGGCTGAGGTTGTGGTGCAACTGGAGTTGGTTAGCGGGCAGCTCCTCCCAGCTCTTCATGTCAGCAGCTGTTGTCTTGAGGTCTGGCTTCAACACGTCCATGTGGCATTTCCTCTGGCCACCATGAGATCTCAGGCCACAACTAAGCTGGCAAGATCAGCCCTGATTAAGCCGTCCCAGGAAGCGTCTGTCCAACCTGTGTTGGAAAACTTCCAGGGATGGAGAGTCCACCACTTCTCTGGGCAGCTTGTTCCTGTGCTTGACCACCCTCAGAGTCAGAAAGTCCTTCCTCATTTCCAGCCTCAGTTTCTCCTGCTGCAGCTTGAGGCCATTGCTCCTAGTCCTGTCCCCTGCAGCCACAGAGAAAAGCCCATCTCCAGCCTCTCTACCATTGCCCTTCAGGGATTTGAAGACCGCACTCAGTCTTCTCTTCTCCAGACTAAATAAGTCAAGCTCTTCCCGCACTTCCTCATCAGTCTTGCCTCCCAGGCCCCTAATCATTGTTGTTGCTCTGTGCTCGACTTGTCCCAAACTCCCAACATCCTTGAAGTGCAGGGCCCAAAACTGGACACAGGGCTCCAGGGGAGGCCTCGCCAGTACTGGGCAGAGTGGAAAAATAACTGCCCTTGATTTGCAAGTGATCCTCCTGTTCATACAACCCAGGATGCCATTGGCCTCTTGCAACAAGAGCATAGTGCTGGCTCCTATTCAGTTTATAATTCCCTATAGCCCCAGATCCATCTGCAGTCCTGCAGCCCAGCCAGTCATTCCCCAGTCTGGATTTGTACGTGCTGTTAGTCTGTCAAATGCAGGGCTTTGCACTTGTTTCATCTCATCTAGCTGACTGCAAGCCAGGGAGTCCATGCAGTGTAGATGCCTATCTCCACAGTGGGGCTCCTGACAGGAGGTACGTTACACCCATACTCAACAGATCACCTTAGCTTGAATGGGATTTCCAGGCACAATCTACAACAGAGCTACCCAGCTACAAAGCCCAGCTCACGTCTGGGGAGGAACGGCATCCTTCAGACAGCACTGAAGCAAGAGCCAGGGTCCATGGGCACCCACGCTCTGAGAGTCCATAGATCGGCATGGCTGGGTCTGATGCTCTCACTGGGGCAAGGGGCTGGACTCAGTGGCCAGGACGGCCCTTCCATACCCGAGTCCTACAGATCTGTGTCACCCACTGCTCCTGTTTTCACAGCAAGACCTGCATTTCCTCTCTGGCATCTGCAAGGGGGTGGAAGAACTACCTGGAAGGAAACCTCTCCCCAGAGCCTTCCTCTGGGCTGCTCCATGAAGGCTTTGACCCATGGGGTTTCACAGCTGGGCTCTGGGATCCTAGGAGCTGCAATGAGCATGTTTCACAGACTCCAAATTGCAGCCAGGCATTTATAGCACAGCAGCTGTGCAGTGCCATCCCGATGCAGGCCACAGCAGCAGTAAAACCACGGCAGGTCTCCTGCAGTGGGTCTCATAGGGACAGGTAACAGACGGCGTTCCAAGAAGTGCCTGTCCCTCAGGCCAGCTTCCAGCAGGTTTCACTGGGCCGTCAGTGCAGCACCACAAATCACTAGGGCTACACAGGCCCCGCATGTCACGGGAGCTTGTGTTCAGCTGCTTACAACTTGTCCAAAATCGACATGGCTTGGGCTGAAGTCTTCCGCACAAGGCACCTGATGTTGGCTAGATCACCAATTCCAGCCCAGATACTGGAGCTGCCTTGGGTTTTCCCCTCGCTCTGTTCTCATCTCAGTCACCTCTGAGAACTCCAACCATCTCTTCTGGAGCAGCTGTAGGCTCCCCGTGGTTGGGGCAAGATATGATGTTGAAGGAGGGGAGGTTCCACCTGTCAGAGAGAGGCCTTTTGCTGCTCCTGGGAAAACCCACCCCTGGCTGGGTTTAAGCCTCTGGCAAATCACAGCTTGCACCTGCTCAGTAGCAACTTCTTGGGAGTTTTATCAGCTAAAGTCTCCCGAGACCCCACCAGACAGAGCATGATCCATCCCAGAGCTCAGCAGTGTTTTCCCAGCAACTGCAGCTCTGGGGTCGGGGGAACCTAGGGGACAGAGACCAATGGCATAAGGAACCAGGTAGGAGGAGCGGAGACTGGCGGCAGCTGTGGGGAGGACTCGGACTCACTAGGCTGAGAAACAGGGGCTCTGCAGGGTAGAGACATGCACTTGAACAAGATGCCACAGTCGGGGAAGAGGCAGATCTGCAACAGGCAGAGGTGAGAGGGGACAGGGAGAAGGCAGTCAGCTCTGGGAGAGGTGAGGACGGACAGCCAGAACAGCATGAGCCAGCACACAACATCCTAGTGAGGAGCCACGGACCAGACCTGATGGTCCACTAAAGCCTACCTCAAACGTGCCCCTGGGCAGGAGGCGGCTCAGATGCCCTGTGCATGTGACCTCCAGTCTCTCCTACGTTATATACTTGACAAACTTACAATCCTAGAATCACAGAGCAGTGGGGCTGGCAGGGAACTGCAGAGGTCACATCTAGTCTAACTCCTGCCTGAGGCAGGATCAGCCCCATGCAAACCAGGCCAGACAAACTCATGGGCGAAGTCAAAGCAAAACTGCAGTCACCCCTGACAGCCCCAGGCATCACGCCTGCCCCAGGGAAAGCAAGGGGACCGCGGCAGCCAGTGTCCTGCAAAGGATGTTAATATACACTTGAGAGACCCCAGGCAGAAGCCATGCCCCACTAGAGGAGGGCAAACCCCCATCCCTAGGCTGTACCAATCTGACCAGGGAGTAAAATTCCTTCCTGACACCAACCAGCAAAGCCCAGACGCCTGGGAAATACCCACAGTACAGCACAGGCCTAGCTACGTCAAGATCATCCCTGACCAGTGCTTGTCCAGCCTCTTCTTGAACACCTCCAATGATGGAGATCCCATACCTTCCCTAAGTGTCTATCCCACTGCCTCCCTGCTCTGGCAGCGAAGTGTTTCCTGCGAGCCAATCTAAATCTGCTTTGCTGCAGCTTCAAGCCATTGGTCCGCATCCTCTTCTGCAGCAGGAAAGAAAAGGTGCTTACCTCTTTACAGCAGCCTGTCAAGTGTTTGCAGCCTGCTGCCATGTCCACTCTTAAGCACCTTTTCCACAAGCTGAACGTGCCCAGCTCCTTCAGCCTCTCCTTGTCTGACTTGCCTTCCAAGCCCTTGATTATCTTTGCTGCTGCCTCTGGACCCTCTCTAACTTCAACACATTCTTTTTAAAATGTGGAGCCCAAAATGGCACAGTATCCAGATGAGACCTTAGCAGTGCCAAGCAGTGAGGCACCATCACCTCCCGTGTCTCACACCTCATGCTCCTATTTATGCAGCCCAAAATCGCATTGGCCTTTCGTGCAGTCGCATCACACTGGGCAGTCAGTGGTCTACCAAGACTCCCAGTCCTTCTCCACGGTGCTGCCAGGTGCCCCCCGTTTTGTCTTTGCATTTTTGATTATTCTTCCCAAGGGGTAGCACCTGTATTTGTCTGCATTGAACTCCACCCTGTTTGCTCTAGCCTGGCTTTCCAATCTGCCAGGATCCTTCTGAACTATGCTCAGCAGCAGATCCACAGAGCCTACGTGAGGAAGCAGAGCATGGTGAACTGCCCAGCACCAGACCACAGCAGGGACCGCAAGGCAAGGGGAATCGCCAGGGCTGCAGTCTGGCCAGGTCCTAAAATGCGCCCCACGGCCCACCCAGGTTGACATGGGCTATAACCTCAGCTGCCATTCAGAACATGAGGGCTCCCGCTCCACTACCTGCCTCGAGTCAACAGAGCTCACTAGTCAGCCCCATCCCTCCACACACTCCAGAGCACAGGGGGCCCCTGGCAGGCACCAGCCACATCTTGCTCCACTCAGTGCATGGCACTGGTAGAGACACTGGCAGCCCAACACTGCACAACAACAGGGAGCAGAGGACAGAAGGGGTTTCTGCTGCAGATTTAGGGACAGGTGCTGTTCCCCACCCATGGGCACAAATGCACATGTGAACAGACACAGACAAAGACACTCCCCACCACACCTCACCTCACCTTATTGAAGCGGGCAAAGGGGTAGTCCTTGCCCTCCTCTGCTGCCCTCCGCCAGTGGTAGAACATGGCTCCGTCCTTCCTGGCCGGGTTCGTGAAGGGCATCCACTTCCAGGGCCGCACTTTCTTGGAGCCCAGCTTGGCCTTGACGGTGCGGTAGCCCTGGGTCGTGTCACTAGGCAGCAGTGGGGGTGCATCCCTGCAGAGGAGGTGAGGGGGAAGGTTCAGGCCAACAGGAATAGCAGTCTGCACTGAGCTTGGCCGGAGAGGTGCCACACTCCCAGCTGGGCAGCACGTGCAGGGCACCAGGTCACACCTTGCCCTCGATCTGCAACATCATGCTCAGCTCTGAGGGGGGGCTTTAGGCCACATGACAGCCCCAGCCTTGAACTGGCCCAGAGCCAGCACTGACAGGCTCCAGGGGCCTGACCCCAAGGCGGAGAGGAGGGCCAGCCCAAGCAGGTCTATCCTGAATCACTGCAAAATCCTACACACATTCTAGGAGATGAGTGAATGGCTCAGCCATGTCTGACAAAAGGGGTTGCCTGGGGAGAGGACAGTGCATCAGACCCCAGAGCAAACTGTGTGACACATTTGTGGGAGTGAAGGTAGATGTTAAACCTGCCCACACCCCCAGGGGCATCGAACATGGGAGGACAGGAAGGCTGCAGCCTGGGCAGCAGAAGCTGGTGCCAGGTCCCCCGCCACACACCCCTCCAGATGCCCCCAGAGTCCTCACTTCTTGTCAGAGTAGAGAAGCGCATAGACCTCCCGGTGCATGCCCTCCGGCCGCTTGAACGTCAGTGTCTCCGAGGACTTCTTGGACTTTTTCTGAAACAGAAGGTCCCAGTCAGACCAGCCAGGACGGACCAGTGTGTGCTTGTGGCCTTGATTTCTGTGCTGCTCCCACCCCCAGAAAGGCCTTCTTGCCGCAAGCAGCCAGCTATCCCTAGTGAGCAAAGCCACTTGTTTGGCTAAGACCTGTGTTCCACAGCAGCAGCTGGTCTGGACCAGGAGACGCCAAGAGCTCGCAAAGCCACCCATTGGCTGGGTACTTCAGACCGTCACTGCTGGAAACAGCCTGGCTTCAGCTTCCAGCCACTGCTCCGCTGCCCCCCTCCGGGAGAACTGCACAGTCCTCCCTCCCCAGGAAGGCACCTACAGGCTACAGTCAAGTCATAGCTCATTTGCTTTCTGTCTCTCGCTATCAGAAGTGTCCTCCCCCCCTAAAACAATTCTTGTGACTCCCCCTGTATCATGGACATCCTGCTCCCTTGCCCTTTCTCCAACACTCAATCAAATGCAGACACCAGAACTGGGCACAGGGCTCCCGGGCTGGTCCTGCCAACACCATGACCCACCCCCAAGTTTTTACATCCAAGAACCCCATCAGCCCTTTCACACGGAGTCATTTGTGCACCCTGGCGCCTACGTCCTTCCCAAGTCACAGTGTCCCAGTCTGAAGATCCGGCCTGCAGAGGCCCCGCCTTGCACGTGGTTGCAGCTTCTCTGAACGTGCCAGGCTTTCCAAGTGGTCTGGATCGCTGTACAACCACCTCATCTCCCACAACGATTTACGGTACCTTCCCCTTCTATCACCTGTGAACATCAGCAGCGGTGACTGCATGACTGCTTCCCAGTCTCTGCTGCAAATGCTGACCTATGTCTGGTGTCTCACCAAATCCTCTGGAGACCGACGCACACTGCCCCTCGATGAGGATGCCCTTTGACAACTACTTGGCAACCTGTCAGTTCTCCAGCTCTTAATCCCAGAACAGGTGCTCCATCAGTAACACATAGCTAACTGCTTTTAGAGCAGCAGGCCTTCCAGGAGGAAGTGCAGTGCTTTCTACAAGTCTCACTATGGTCTGCTGACACAATTACTTTGCATCATGCAACCTCACAGAGGTATCTCAGCTCCACCTGCAACTGGATTAATTATACCACCACACTTTCATTCTTTATCAACTGGCTCCTGCATCAGCTTGTCCATTGCTTTGCTAGGGACTGACATCAGACTAACTGACCTGTCATCATGACCCAGGTCATTCAGCTTGCCCTTTGAGTGCCGGCATGTTAGCATGCTTCCATGCCTCCAGGAATTCCCTCAGTTGATATCAAGAGGCCAGGGACCTGCTCAGCCAGGAATGGGAGTGCCAATTACAGCACTTTGCAAAGCAATGGGCCTGGGTATTTAATAGATGCTGTTTAACACCCTCCTTTGTCAAAGAATGTCTGCATTCCCATGCGAGAAGTACATCAAGAACTGAATGGAAAGAGTTACTGGACACTCCTGCCTTTCTTACATCCTTACTCACATTTTTACCAGCTCCACTAGCAATGGGCCCTGCACAGCAGTGCTAGGAACCCTTTGTTCCTAGTACACCAGTGAAACTCCTACACAGTTTTCTTAGCTCTGCCACACCTGGATTTTCCCTGATGTCTTTAGCTTCCCTCATCTATTTCTTCCCCTTCCTAACTTTTCATTCATATAATCTTTTATCCATCTCCCCTTTGTTATATGCTAGTTTTTTATTTCTAATTGCTGCCTTCACTGCCCCACTGAACCAGGACGGACTTTCAGTCAAAGCTGCTCTCTTCTGATTACAGAACTGTGGCTTTTCAGCTCTCAAATGAGCTCTTTGTAAAGAGCTCCCAATTTCCATTCATGCTTCTCTGTCCACATTTTTCCACCCAGTGACTTCTGCCCACAATTGCCCTCGGCTTTAAGAAGTCAGCTCTTTCAAAGCACCCAGCGCGCTTGTGGATAAATGTCCATCGTTGGTTGGGATTATCCCATTTGCCTGTGCTGAATATGGCTATGCTGTGATCTAAGGTCCCTGTGCAAGCATCAACTCCAAGCCAGAGATGAATCAGTTTTAATCCTTACAGCGCTGTCCACAGCACAGCCACCCTGCACAGGTGCTGCAGCTCATGTGGTAGAAAACCACCTTTTCTGCCCCTCAGAAACTCTAATGATGCCCTGCCTGTGGTTGCAAGAGACCTCCAGCATGCGTTTCCACAACCCGAGTCAGCCACCCCCAGGTTCCAAGGGGTAACTCATGCTGCTCTCCACTTAGATGCTGTTGTCTGAAACAGGCTCCAGCCCCACAGTCCTCTGCGAATCAGTACAGCCCTGGTGTTAAGTAACGGTCCCGGGATTCTGACTTCGCAAATACTCTGTAACAGGACACAGTGTCTGTTAACATTGGGTCCAGGGCCCTGCATTTGTTGGCAACATCTGATGCAAGGAATCCCCATTTGAATCCGCACCCACAACTATAGGGCCCAACACTGAGAACACCTAACAACACGCCACAGGTAACAGCAGGGGAGACGAGGGCTGTCAATGACCTGAAAAAGCAGGGAAGAAATGAGTAAACGTGTGCTCCAAGGTGTCCACAGGACGTCCCCGCACTAAAGGCAAAAACTCCTCTGCCTGTGCCAAGCTGGCCTAGGGGAAAATTCCTTCCTGACCCCAAACATGGCACTCAGGCTGACCTTCAACACAAGAGCCAGACCTTCCAGCCAGGAACCTCTGGGTTTAAGTACTGACAGGACCCATGTCAAACCCTGCTCATTGCTAGCTGCGGCCAACATCCCAGCCCCCCAGAAGCTGGTAGCCTTCACAAGGGGAAAAAAATTCCCTCTAGCCCTAACCGGTGACCAGCAAAAGCCCTGAACCTGGGGATCAAACACCTTCCACGCCACAGGAACCATCTTATGCCTGCAACCTGGGGACCACAAGCACAGGCCTCCACATCTACACGTCATACCGCTCCTTCCATAAACTGATTCAGTTCAGCCATAAAGCGATTCCAGTTCCTTGCCTCCAGCCTGGAGGTTGGACGTTGAGAAATCCTCTTCTCATTTCCAATCTAAATGTAAGCCTGGGCAGCATGCAGCCATCTGATCTTGGGCTTCTGCTGCTTCTCAGGCTAAACAAATTCTTTTTCTTCCTAACAGGTAGAAAACTGAGGCAGGGGCCAGATCAGGTCTCACAAGGCCTCCACAGTCAATATTTTGCCGCCACCCTAATGAAATACATAAACAGGCCAAAACAAATCTTCTCAAAGCTTAAATGGATTCCCAAAGACATACGGGGGCTGTGCCAGGCAGGAGCACAACTCTGCTCCCCTCCCAGAGCTCCCCCATTTCCCCCAAGCCCAGTTCCCATTCAGATACAGTTACACCATTTCCTCAGCTAAACACGGGGCTGCTCGCGTGTGGACAGTGGAGGAAGCACGGACTCCACGTGTAGGAAGCTTGCACAGGGCCCCCGGCATTCAGCAGACATGCACCCCATAGACAAGCTGCAGGAGACGCATCTCAGTAATTATTTTGCTCGTTCATTCATCTGCTACTGGAAAGAAGAGTTAGCAACTCGACCAAGGATTGCAGCCCTGGCCCCCGCTTCGTACCTTGTCCGAGTTGATGATGTCCTTCTTGTTGATGGTGCCCGTGTTCTCCGACTCCACGCCCCCCAGCTCCAGGATATCCCGCACATCCGCGCCTGTCGCCATCTCTCCCTCTGGAGGCAGAAGAGGAACAGCTGATAAATCCAAGAGCGCCGAGACTGGGCTCCCCTAAAAAACGCTCTCAGCAAAACCAGCCCCATCCTCTGCTAGCTCTCCCCTCACCTCCCCACAAATCGCACCCGTGTTCAGCATTAGCTTTATCCCGCACTCAATCAGACACCGGCGCTCCTTCAGCTGCAGAAAACAGCAAGAAATGCGGCGAGAGGTGCCGGCAGGTGCAACTCAGCGATGCTAGCAGAGAAAAGGAGGTGGCACTTCTCCCAGAAAAGGGACATCCAAGCTACTGAACTACATCAGACCAGGGATGTGGAAGTGCCCGCCATCGGGTATTTCTGAGGGAGCGCGCTGCTTTCTAGTGCCAACAGGTTCTGACAGGGTTACGGGTCAAGTCAAAACCTACGGCCGATCTGAAACAGCAACACCGGCTTTCCTGTGGGAAAACAATGGGATTCACCAACCTCTCATAGTGTCATAGTTGGTCGGGTCGGAAGGGACCTGAGCAAATCATCAAGTCCGACCCCTGCCCTGGCAGGAAAGTACTGGGGTCAAACGACCCCGGTGAAGTGTTCATCCAGCCTCCTCTTAAAGACCCCCAGGGTCGGAGCCAGCACCACTTCTCTTGGAAGTTGGTTCTGGATCCTAGCCGCCCTGACAGTGAAGTCACGCCTCCTGATGTCTAGTCTGGACCTACCCTCTGCCAGCTTGTGACCGTTATTTCTAGTCACTCCTGGTAGTGCTGGGGGGAACAGGGACTCCCCCAATGCCTGCTGGTCCCCCCTGACTAGTTTGTAACAGGCCACTAGATCCCCCCTCAGCCTTCCCTTGTGGCGGCTGAACAGGTTCAGGTCCCTTAGCCTCTCCTCGTAGGTCCTGCCCTGCTGCCCCCGATCATGCGAGTGGCCTCCTCTGGCCCCTCTCCATGCTGTCCACGTCCCTCCTGAAGTGCAGCGCCCAGAGCTGGACGCAGTACTCCAGCTGCGGTCTGACCAGTGTTGTATTGGCACATGCTGTTGGTGTTTGCAGTTCTTTTGCTGCAAGTTATGCATTTTATGCAACTGTCATTCAAAACGGCTAACAGCAGCTGCTTTGACTCCTGCAGTGTAGACCAGGTTTGGGTGTGTCCCAAGTGGGTTTAACCTCCCAACACCTCTCCTGGGCCTACAGCTCCTGGAAATACAGGCCAGTCTCAGCCAAAGAAATCAGGCCCTACCTGACCAAAAATTAGAAATTCCCCCACAGGAAAGCACAACAAATCTGGATTCTTTTGGAGCAAGTGGAGTATGGCATTTGCTGAGCTGAGGGGTCCTGACTGAGAATGTTACATTCCAGTGCATCTCCCATTTAAATCTAGGAGTTGGTAGCTTCAACAGACTGCTGACTGCAGCTGTGAGACTGTCATATGAGGATCAAAAACAGCTCTTGAAACATCACTAAGTCAGAATACAGGTGTACCATGGTCCCTGCAGAGAGTGCTGTGAAATCACCAGCTCTCTTCTACGCTAGCTGCAGCCTCTCAAGAATTTACAGGTACGCTCTGCTCAAAAGCCCATGGTATGTGTTCAGTTTGGAAGTGATGAAGGTTTGGATCACTCTGAGCAGGTGTTCATATCCAAAATAGAAAGTTGCCACCTACTAGTTCCGGCAGATAAGGAAAAGCACCGTCTCCATGCTACTATGGGAACTTCCTCCAAACATTGTAACGCTGAGTAGCCAAGGGAGTTATTTGTCTGCAACTTATTTTAGGACACCACAGCTTTCACAACACAATAAGGCGCGGCGCAGCGCAGTACACGGGGAGGAGCGGCAGGGAGGGCATGTGTGCGCGCGCCGCCTTAATCCGCGTTAGTGCCCCTGCCCTGGCATCGCTTCCCCTACCCCCAGGCTGCCTGGACAAAGCCCCGGTGGGAGGATGTGGTTGGCACTGGCTCTGCTTGCAGCAGAGGTCGGACTGGATGTGCCCCCTGTACCCGCCCGAGCCTACGCCCAAGACAGGAAGGCAGCCCCCCTCCCTCCATGTGATATGAAGTCTGTCGGACCTCGAGTGCAGGGGCGAGACCCTCCAGCCAGGACCCGACGTCGGCATCCCATCCCAGCCTTGGCTGGGGGAGGGACCCCCACCCCTGAGCAACAACACAGGGGGGGAAATGCCTTCCCTTACCTGATCTGTGGACGCCTCCGGCACGGGGATGCAGCCCCAGCTGAGCGCCGAGCCGGGCAGAGTCGGTCCCGCTGTACGGCTCTGCTGGGGCAGCTGCGACTGCCCCCCGGGCACAGGGCACCTGCGCCGGGGGAACCTCTCCTCCTCCTGGTTCAGTCCGAGGCTTTTGAGCCAGGGACCCGCCACCTGCAGAGCCCTGTGTCAGCCCAGGGGCAGCAAATCCAGCCCCCTGCGTCCACACGTCCTCATCCGCTGCGAACTGACCCGAGGCACGAACCGGGCGCCCCGGGAAGGCTCTGCAGCCGGGCACGGGGGTCAGCAGGGAGCTGCCAGGGCTCCCGTGGGGAGGGGGCAGGAGGGTACCTGGGCAGGCCGTGTCCCCAGCTGAACTAATCTGCCCCAAGTTCCCTCCTGAGCCCTGTGCAGCAATTGGGTGACCCGGAGCAGAGGTGCCAGACCCCCACCCTGGGGCCTCGGGGCTGTTTAAACCCAGTAGGACCACCAGTGCCCCCAGCCATGACCCCCCGCCTGTGTCCAGGGACCAAAGCCAGCAGCAGCCCAGGGTGGGGGAAGCCTTCCTTCCTGACCCTTGCGGGCAGGCGGCCGCAGCCTGGAGCATGGCACTGCCGGGGCAGAGAGCACACGAGGCTGGAGCGGGGCACTGGCCGGCCTGCAGCTGGCCCGCATCTCTCAAAGCAGGCTTGAGGCCAGCCTGTTTGCAAGCAAAACGTTGCACCGGGCTAAGGGGACCCGAGGCAAACAGGGACTGGCACTGCCAGTGGTTGGGGGGCAGCAGGAGCGGGTGCTCAGGGCTTGGCATTGCTGGCCGCCTACCATCTGCGGCCTTGGGGGGGGGGGGGGTCACACCTCTGGGCCCAGCTGCCCTCATTGAGGGCTGATTGCATCATGGGGCAGTTGTCAGGAGCCTCCACCTCAATCAGTGGAGATGGATCCAGCTCATTGTCCGGGAGGGCTGGATCCATCGCACCCATTAGCAGCTCTTTGGGCCACCCTGCCCTTGCCTTGATCAGGGCTGGGAAGCGGGACTTGAAAGGGCCCCCGGGAGCCTGGAGGAGAGAAGAGGGAGGGGTGAGAACAGCTTGGTAATAATGAAGGATGGACACAGGCAGGGCCTCTTCTCCCTGTTCCCGGGGCAGGTCTCGGGGTGGGGACCCTGGCCTGGCACTGGGATGGGGCTGTAAACAGCAGATTGG